AAGGGCGAGTTACCTGAGTTGCACGCGCGAGCCAGGTGCGTTCGGCCAACTGTCTTTTGCCCGTCCGTACGATCGCGCGCCTCCACTATCCTTAGTGTCAGAAAACGCGTCACCTTTGTCAGAGAATGTCAGAGTTGGTTACGGCTGTTGACCACTCATAGTCTGCCGCGTGTCCTCTTCCTTATGTGCTCCGCTGCTCTACCAGTTCTGCACGTCTATGTCTCCTCGATCGTCCTCCCTCGACCATATCCTCGGATAACTTGTATCTGTCGACCACTTCTGATTTCCTTAGTTGTCGCTATTTGCTCGATGTTCTAGTGGCCGGTGTCTGGTCCTATTCAACCATGCCATTCGATCTTATTCCCACTAGGTAGTCCAACAAACCGGTCGGTCTTCTTTGATTAGCCCTATAAACCGGTCTAGTATATAATATCCCATATCAAACCTCAACTCTTGTTTGTCTGGAGTGATGTATGATATTATGCAGTTGAATAATGCCTTTGATTCATGTCACTTTTTTGCTTCTTCTTAGTTAGACTTGGTGTGTTTCACCTTGTGCGGTGTTTTAGGACTTACTATTGGTGTATGCTCATCGTAAAATGTAAAATTTTATCTCCTTTACCAGGTCTCACACATATTCCGGGAGGGGAATCGGCCCGCTGATTTCCTTGCTAGCACGGGGGCATCTATACCCTAGAGACGCACCCTCCTTACTGAGGACATTCCCCTCCGGCTTCGGACGCTCATTCAGATGAACAAGCTAGGGTACCCATCTTTCAGATTCGGTCGACCGCCACCACCTGCCCCTAGTTTGACGTTTTGGACCCCATGCCAGGTCACTCTGACCAGGACGACCTTTTATGAGGATTTGATTTGTACTTTTTATTTTTCTGTTTTGATGTTGCCCTATGTATTTTCGACTTTGATGTAGACCACTGATATATCTAGCCCTCTTTGAGCCCTTATATTCACAGGTCGGGGTTGTAGTCTCAACCCCCCATCCCACTCTGGGATGTTTATATAAAAAAAATACTATTGGTGTATGCTCGTTTCTTTCTTTTCTATCTTGCTAGAATGGTTAGTTTGTACTCGGTTGATGTCCGATTGAACTCGGTTTGAGTTTAATATTTTTGTTATCGTTTGGAAAAAAATCGAGGGATATGATCCATCAAATATCATATAGCTAGATTTTGTATCCAT